TTTCTAGGCCTCTTCCTACTCATAGGCTTCAGACCCATGACCCAATTATCCTTTTTCTCATCCCCACCGCTGGAGTATCTCATTATTTGGCTTAATTCGCAACCGCTTTACCTTTCCACGCCTGAGTCGCGTAAAGCATGCTTTGTCCCTCAAGTTGACAGTCTCAGATAATAATAAGGTTATAGCCATTTGTTCATATTTGCATTAGTTGGTAGCCCCTCTAGTCAGACATGCCGCCAGTCACCTCTCATTAAGACACGCACGAAAGATATACACAAGCAAATTGGGGACCAAGTGAAAGTATGCACGTTGAAAAACTGGGTTTCGAAGAATTCATTAATATATTGATGTTGAAGTACCTTTCATTTCGTTTGAAGATACGAAATTGAGTCCTCACCGGAAGCTGTAGGGAGATTGGCTTGGAGCTGTGACTATAGATTTATACGAATAAGTCCTCGGGGCATCGCCCTGCGACCCCGATGAATCCTTGCTGAGCTTTCGTCTATTATGTGACGGACATAGTCAGAGCAGGACACCAGGCTTAACGATAATTAACCTAAATATTCCATGTCGATATCCAAACCCTGATTAATTTTATAGAAGCCTATATATTTAGCTTAGCTCCTCTGCATGTTATGGCTTTTCATTTCCTATTTCATACCCCACAAATGAACTCACACCGGTAACTCCAGGCTAATTTCAGGTTTGACTCATCTCACTGGAATCGCCTTTTCTTGAATTCCCTTTGCTAATCAGCTAGTCAGTCACAAGAAGCGCTCTCAGTGCCCTATGAAGATTAAAAACGAAATTATCCTGCCACTCTTATATACCCTAGATAGTGTGGAGGATACCATGATGGTAATGGATGTCCATTCCTGAGCCCCAAATAAGGGCTTTATATAAACCGTCTTTCTTAATCATAGCTATGCGTAGTAAAGTTGTTAGTTTCCAATGAAAATTCAAAACAATTAAACTCAGATTATTGTGAAGTATTAATAGATTGTAAGGAGGGAAAAAGGTATTTATGGAACAACATAGATAAAAAGCCTTAATTAAATACTTGATTTGAATTCTTTTCATTTATCAGAAAGGATACAAACAACTGGATAATTAGAGTACAGAAATAATATTTCAGAATCGGGTTGCCCTCGGGATCGCATTTATGTTAAGAAGAGTCGACATTGGACCAGGCTATCCGACGTCTTGTTCGGCCAGCTCTGAACTTTAGATGCACAAACCTTTGCCGGCTATTTTCTGTTCAGATAACCTCTTATATATGGGTCGACACGTCTCACAACATGAACACAAAACCTTATATCACCCCAACTTGGAAAGATGGCATTACTGAGGAAAGTGTTATTTTCTCCCTATAGACTATCCTGATGTTCCACTTCCTCAGTAGTTTACCTATCTTTTTCGAAAGCTGACACGACGACAACTTCAAGACTCGAGTTGAGCGTTCCAGCTGTCCATCTTGCCCCAAATATATGATTTCCTCTAT